TCCCTCCCTCCCTCCCTATCTCCCTCCTTCCTTCCTTTCTTCCCTCTCTCTCTCTTTCCCTCTCTCCCTCCTTCCCTCTCCCCTCCCTTCTTCCCTCTCTCCCTCTCTCTTTCTATCCCTCCTTCCCGCTTCCCTCCTTCCCCCATCCTTCCTTCCTTTCTTCCCTCTCTCTTTCCCCCTCCCTCTCTCCCTCCTTCCCTCTCCCCTCTTTCCCTCTCTCTTTCCATCCCTCCCTCTTCCTCTCCCCCTCCCTCTCCCTCCCTCTTCCTTCACTTCCCGACAGGGGCAGGGCTAACACACATGCTTGTGCTTCTATGACCGACCTGCTGGTGAAAAGTGAAAGGATGAGCTTTGCCTGGGGCTGGTCCCTCCTGTCACCCGGCTAGTTAGGAGCCTAGGCACTGCCATCTAGGCGCTGGGGAGGGCAGCATCCACATAGGCCCTAGGCTGGGCATCTCTGAAAATAAATGGGGAGATCACCCCCTGTGGCCCCTTAGCGAGGCCTTTCTGACCCTGGTGGGCTACAGGAAGGAGGAAGTGGGCTTCCCAGGAAGCTGTGGAGTCACTGGTGATGCACCTGTGATCTCATCTGGTAATGGGGACCAGGTACCGTGGCCTTCACAGGGCAGCGCTGAGGGTCACTCCCACTACGGGCTCCCCTCCCCCCACAACCAAGTGCGCAGGGCTGGGTGCTGTCTGGCAGTGCTCTGGACTGTCCCCATGGCCATTGCCCCCAGAAGCATCTCAGCACAGAGACTGAGAGGAGCCACCAGCACTGTGTGGCGGCTGCAGGATCCCTACAGACCCTGTCTGCAGGGCGGGACAGGAGCACCTGCCTGTCCAGTGCATGGCCACGTGGGTTGTACAACAGACCCTGTCTGCAGGACAGGACATGAGCACCTGCCTGTCTAGTGCATGGCCACGTGAGTTGTACAGGTCCACTGGGGCCCATAGACAGTAGAGAGGATCTGAAGACAATTCTTGAAAATGTTACCACTTTAGAAATCTATGTATATATGACTTAATAAAAAATAAATAAATACAACCACAATACACATCTGTTTAAAAAAAGAATAGAAATAGCTTATAGTTACATAAATATATGAAGAGTGTATTTCAAAAAATGTTAATTTGCTACACCATAGTGACCATTTTACAATCCATATGCACCCTGTAGCATCAGGCCTTAAAGATACACAATAACATCTATTTTAAAATTAGCAGTCAGCCAAACCTAATTTTACCAGTAAACTTTACTTCACCGTCTGTGTGTGAGTGATCATTTCCAGATTGCTCAGTACAGTCTGGATTTCTCCCTTGGCTTTCATGACACACTCCAGGGAGGGACAGATGTGACATCCCTGATCACATCACACCAGGGGGCTGACAGGATACCTCACTGTCCCTGCCCACAATCTGGCTGTTATGGCCTGGGCCCCCCAACCCCCGCCTGCTGGGACCCCGCACGGCATCCTCCTGGGAGCTTCCTGAGGTCCGTGTGCCCATCAGATGAGAACATGGATGAGCACAAGGTAATCCCTGTCCCCTTGACCAGGGCCACACTGTGTCCTGGGACGGGGTTGGGGGCTCTAGTTTCCTGCACCCCTCACTGCTCTGCCTCCCCCACCTCGTGGGCAGACACAGCTAAGCCGTGGCTAGAACCCAGTGGTCCCAGGACTGGTTGTACCCCGGGAGTACCTGCTAATGTCCATTTAAAACATGATGCTGCATGCTCTGATCCAACACACAAATCTATTAAAACTGTTGTTCTATTTATAAAAGTTATTATTTCATAGTGCTAAAAGTAGTACATAATTATTTTTACAAAACTATCCAATTAAAGCTAATTTGAGAGAACAGTTGACCCTATGTGCTTTTGCTTCATGGAAATACCTCCTTGTTTATCATCTTAGGTAAGTTTCACCACCCAAGTCACCTCAGTCTATGCACCCAGGATGTCAAGCTCCCATGTCACCCTCAGGTAACTGCTGAGAGCTGGAACCGGTGGGTGCTACGGCTCATCCTGCCGCTGTCCCTCAGCTTGCTGGTCTTTGGCCATTACATCAGAACTCAGACCAGGTCTCATGACTGCACACCTGTCCACTGGCCGGGGAGTCTGGGCTGTTGACTGATGTAGGAGGCGGGAAGGAAGTGGGTGCGGCCTCTTTGCCTCTGGAATAGGTCACACTCAGGCCGGGTGACCATGGAGCACGGGAGAAGCCGAGCTGCCGTCCCCCGCAGGCCTGTGCTTCCCACACTAATGTGATTCAACACAGACAGGCTTTAAGGTTTTCCTGTCATGACTGATAAGCTTCTAGCCCTGAAAACCACCTGAAGTATTTCTCTCTCCGTACCTGGGTGACACTTTCGATTCCTCCAGGAGTTTTCTGAATTCCTCTTTGGCTAGCAGCAATTTACTTTTCTTTTCCTTGTATTCTTCTTTTATTCTGGTCTTGACAAACTGTTCAAATATCTTAAAACACATACACAAAAGAAGAGTGTTATGAAATTGCTTATCGAAAATGAAATCCCACATCACAAGCACAGCACAAAGACACAGTGAGACTGAAGCAGCCAGCTTGTCACGGGGGCGGGGCCACCTCAGCAGCCTCTACTGCGGCTCTCCCCAAAACCAAGTGCCCAGACTCCCCAACTAGCGGACTGCCCTAAACGATCAAACCCAGGTTCCCACGAGCCCTGATCTGTTTCTCTGCACAGACACCATTTCTGGGTCACACATCAAATCAGCCCTGCCTGAGAAGCGGCCTCTCTGTGGGATTCTGGAAGCAGCAGGCCGGTGACAACTGGCTCTAAATGGCCCTGCTCACGCTGCAGCAACTGGTGACCTGTCAACGTCTCTGTCACTGCCAGTGGCGTCAGTAACACACTTGAGCACTTAATGTGTTCTAGTCACTTCTTATGATGACATAATTGGCGTTGGAATCTCTAAAAATGACTTTAATTTATGAAAAGAATGTAAATCCAGCATCTCTGATGCCAGGCTTCTAGGAACACCCACTTCTAATCCTGGCATGAGAGCGGACAAGGTGGCCGCATCTGAGGATGTCACCGCACCCAGGTTGGACTGATCACTGTGCAGCCAGCAGTGACCGGAAGTGGGTTTTGGTTGCTGCCCCCTCCCAGAAACCCCGCTTCTCAGTGTGGGAGGGCAGAGCCCGGCAAGTGTGTCCCGTGAGACTCCGGGGGTTTCCCTTGGAGACCAGCAGCCAGCACAGCAGGGTGAAATCTCCCTTTGCCATCACACAGAGAGCAGCTGAGCTCTCAGTGTCCTACCTCTGAAAAACTGTCACTTACACACTCTAAGGCCCAGGGGGCTGAGTTGTTGCACTCCTAAGGCTATCCAGAGTCAAGAGCACTATAAAAATAAACTGGAGATAATTTAAATGTTTATGGAAATATAAATGAAAGTATCAATTCAAAGCCCACATGTGATCCTGTAAGGCCCAGGCAGAGCAACTCCGCACATCCATCGGTGGCCGTGCAGCTCTACAGTCTGAGCTGAGCGCCGGCCTCCAGCTCGTCTCCCGAGCTCCTGCCCAAGGGAGGAAGGACAGGCTGGCAGGTGGAAGCCTCGATCCCCCAGCGTCTGCAGTGGGGCTCTCCCTGACTCAGCCTCAAGGGCTCAGAGTCCATCTCAGTGGGGGCCAAGCTCTCTACAGGATCATACATGCAAAACCCTGCTCGGCTCCTGAAGACAGCAGCAACATGAAATATTCACGAACATGACCTAAATTTGGAACATGTGCGCAGATCTTAAATGCGAGTACGCCTGGCTTGTTGTACCTTCCAGGCAAATAGTCACGTACGTTCTCCTGTTGTATTATGATTTAAACTCTATGAAAGGTGAATGCAGGATTATTATCTGGATCAAAGCATGCTGCTCCCTCACTAGCCAGAGCTCTGCTCAATGAACTTTAAATGTGGCTAGAAAGCTTGGCTGGCAGTAAAGTCGGGGCTCCCAAGAAATATGTACCTCTTTTCTGCCAGAGCCATTTATGCATCGAATCAGATTTTTCTCTCTCCCTCTCCCTCTGCTCTGTTCCTTTGTTTTATGCCACTGTGATATTACACGGCAGGATTGTTTTTCCTCCTTAACATGGAACACCAGCTTTATCCAAAGTGGGGCGTGGTGTTTAGAAGAGCTACCATGGGGGCTGCCTCTTGCTGTATCTTGTGCAATACAGCAGAGCACGTCTGCTACCATAGAAACAGGTCTGATGTGCACTCCTGAGACTCTGATGCCCCAGTTAGGGCCTCTCTCCTCTCCTTCACGCCCCCCTGGTAGAAAGACAGTTGTAATTTTCACACCCTGGGCCTCAGCTTTCCCGTGGGACACTGTGAGAGAGCAGGTCCCGCCAGATTGCGTGTCTCACATTTGCTGACATGCTTTCTTCCTAAGCAGGGCTGTGCTCTGTGAGTGGGGCCCAAACACCATTTCCTTCCTCAGCTCAGCCTCAGCCCTCCGCTCACGGGAGCTGCACTCTCTGCCTCTGATGAGCTTGCAGCACTCACTCTACCTGCGCTCTGGGGGCTGTGTGCCCCAGCTACGCGGCCTCTTCCTTCTCAGGGAGGCCAGGACAGGCCAGCTGGCTGAGCGAGGCCCAGGCAGGGCCCATCAAGGGAGCACAGCCTCTGCCGGTCCTGGGGCCAGTCTTGTGTGGACGTCTGTGTTCCCCAGACTTCAGAAAGGCAGATGATGGTGCCCTGCTACAGACCAACTCCAGCCAGGCAGCCAGCAAAACATGCCTTTGTGTTCCATGTTGTCCTGAGAGATGTGACAGAAGATTAAACTGCCAGCGTGGGATGGGACCTCAGCGTGAGCTGGGCTTTTCTCCGGGGCTGGGCGTGGTCTCACTTACTCAGCTTCCCTTACAGTGGCTCCTGGCCACAGCCATCCCTGACATGGGGAGGGAATGATGGCAAGTCAGTGCCAGCACCACCCACAGAGCTGTACATAGAAGTCAGCCCATTTGTGGCAGTGCCCTGTGGCTTAAGGTGATCCTCTCACATCTGTAAACAGGACTCTAACGACCTGTTTTCATAGCTGAATTCTACATTTTTAATATCACAACAGTGGTGACATACGGCCAGCTATTCCAGTCTGAGTTGGTCTGTAAGGCTCACGCTCAGCTGACCGCGTTGCAGCATTACCTTGAGCTACCCCTGTATGTTTCACGGGTGTTATGAAGTTTCTATCTGGAAAATGAAACTCAGCTCAGAGGTAACAAAAGATAATAAACTCTAAGTTTCTGAACGGTGAAGGTTGTGCTGTGGGTCAGTCCTGGGGGACCGCCCTGCGTCCTGGCCTGTCAGGGGGCCCTTGGGGAGAGTGTCCAGAGCCGGAGGGCAGGGCGTGGAGGTGGGGTGGGCCTGGCCACTCGGTGTGGGGCCCCACGATGGAGACATGCTTGCCAGGTGCTTCCTTGACATCACCTTGGGCATTGGTTGAAATAAACTTGACCCACTGACAGAATTAAAAATAAAACTGAAATTTCCCTGCTCCGGTCTGAGGCTTGGTCAGCTCTGCTGTCTGAGAAACCCTCTGAGTCCTCTCTGAAACAAGCCTTGTGGTTCCTCTGTCCTTGGAGATTGTTCCTGGGAACCCACTTTCCACATATGTACCAAATCCAAACTCGGAGGGGGAGGGCGGGAAAGACATTGCCACACACAGGGAGTCCCACAGGGACAGGAATTGGAGGCCGAGAACCAGAACTTCCACAGTAGCTCAGGGACCTTCTCAGGGTCCCCCCGGGGCCACACGGACCCAGGCTGTGCTGGCTAATGCCATCTGCCATCAGTCCCTCTCCAGCACCAGCAAACTCCTGTGAGCAGTCTACTGGACTTGATCTGGGAAACCGCCCTGGCTCATAATCTTTACACAAGACTAGGGCACCCCTCGTCAAGGCTCTCGCTGAAACAGCCCCTGCCGTCCTTCCTCGCTCTGCTGGAACACGATTTCTAGACCCTCCGCCCTTCCCTGGTGCTGCCATAGCTGTCCTGCTGCCCTGCTGCTGTTGTCATCCTGAGTGACATACAGAACACGGGATGTATTCAGGAGCAGGCAGGAATCGAGCATGGCCCTGGGGACACCGGGGCACAGTAATCCACGGGAGTGCTCAGGGAGGTAGAGGGAACAGATGGGGAGGACTGACGAGCGTTTTGGAACAAACACCCTTCACCACAAAGTTCAGTAAGTGGGGCCAGGCAGCTGTCCTCACAGCAGAGCTTTTGGGTAACGCTGTGATGAACGCTGAGGAGCCTGTGGCTTTCTCTGGCTACCGTTTTGTTTCTGTTTGTTTTTGAGTCTCCCCCTCCCCCAGACTGGACTGCAGTGGCACGCTCATAGCTCACTCTGAACTCCTGCCCTCGAGCGGTCCCCTCTTCAGCCTCCCAAAGCACTGGGACTACAGGCTGAGCCCCACGCCCAGCTGTCCAGGTGTCCAGTGTTACTGACCCCATTTTGATTCTGATGCCTTTCACTTTATATTAATATAAGACTTTATGAACATAAATCCTTAAGGTCTTACATTATGAAAGACCTTCCATTTCATTACTTCCACGTGAGTTCAGTGTTTTTAACATATAAGTCAGTTGGAATGTGGTCAATGTTCCAGAAACCTACCTTTGTCCTACGATGCGAACATTTGTCTTTCACAGTCACAATCGAATGGTCAGATACAGACCATGTCCAGCACTGCTGCCCCTGTGCCTCCACCTCTTCTGGTCACAGGCCGACTAGCTGCAGAGCTGAGCCCACGCCCCCCACAGAGGACCCCAGCGAGCGCACGGCACTGCTCCTCAGACACACACAGGCCCTGCGTCCCCAGGAAGCGGCTGTTTCAACACAGCCTCCCCAGAGGTGTCATCTTGCCTCACGGCCACCTTACCTGTTTTCGTTCTTCAGAGTTTAGCAGGAGATAACGTGGGTCAAACACAATTTTATGTAATTCTTTCTCCCAGGTGGAAAACGCTGACACCTAAAGAAAGATATTCAATAGAGTTGCCGTTACCATCTGATGCTGAGCCGTCGTCCCACTGAGCTGGTCGGGGGAGGGGGAGAAGGCAGCGTGAAGGTGCCTGGCCTCGGGGGCAGCTGTGAGCGCCGGACATGTCAAACTCTCTACAAAAATCAATTCCTGGGGCGTTAGAAAATTTGATTTCTAGACTCAGAACTCATGACTGTTTCTTCCTTGCCTGTCTCCCAGGGTTGTGCCCTTGCTCTGAAGCCCCCAATACGCCCGGGCAGATGTGACAGACATTCTGGAAAATCACATTTTCAGAACCCCAAGTGCAGTGTCTTGCTAACGGGCTGAGTTTAGCTTGTTCTTGACTGATGTTTACTTGTCATTTAAACTTTGGGGGGAGGTTATTTTTTGATATGAGGTATTTTATTTTGTACTAGTTTTTGACTTACTAAAAAATGGAAGAATATTATAAAAAGTTACCACGCACCCCATGCCCCGTTTCCCATGCTGCTAACATCTTGTAACAGTCTGCAGGCTTTGTCACCACTAACACTGACAGAAACATTACTATCAACACAAGAGCCACACTGTTCAGTCTCTCTCTTTTTTTTTTTTTTGGCCAGGGCCAGGTTTGAACCCACTACCTCTGGTGTATGGGGCCAGCGCCCTACTCATTGAGCCACAGGTGCCACCCAATTCAGTCTCTTTACTGTTCCTAATTTTCTGTTTCTGTCCCAGGATTCCCATTACAGTCAGTTGTCACGCCTTTGTGTCAGGTTCTCAGACCTTGGCTATTTTGAGAGGTGCTGGGGGGCGTCTTGCAGGACACCCCTATATCAGGATTTGCCTGAGTTTCTTCTCAGGATTAAGCCAGGATTATGGCTTCTCTGGGGCAGAGAGCAGGGGCCTGCCTCCTGACCCCTCCCTGACGGTGCTGGCCTGGTCCCCGGCTGAGCTGGGGGTCTGCCCCTTCCAGGCTGTCGCTCTGTCAGGGGCCACCAAGAGCAGCCCACCCTCAGGGCCCTGCTCCCCTGCGGGGAGGGGCAGCCAGATGCCTGGTTCACAGTCGTTCTCCATCTCCGCATTCACCTGTTTGCTCAGTCATTTATTCACATCCACAGGACGTGCGGATAACCAGTTGTGCCTGGGGGAGAACCTGCTGCTTTATCTGCCGTCCTGCTCAGTTTGCTCCCAGCTTGGCTCTGGAGTCCTTGTTGCTGGCCCCATGTCCCGTGGCATATGCTCACCCTTTCACCTTTCGGCACATCTTTATCTTCTGCCATCGTAAGACACTCCAAGCTCATCTTGTGTTTTTCCTGCCTTTGGCCTTGAATCAGCCACTTCTCTAAGAGGCCTCGGCCCCTGTCATTGGAAAACGACACAGAAACCAGGATCCGGCACTGGTGTGTTCGTTGCTAGTGAGATGACAATGCTTCTACACTCTCAGCTCAAGGGCACGTTTAAGTCATTCAAAAAATAAATGAACACATTTAAAAACATTGACTAGATATTGATTATGCCCCAGGCCCTGTGCTGGGTGCTGAGGATTCAGAGAAAATAAATCAGGGGCCCCTGGGTTGGAAATCTCAGAGTCTGGGGAGGCAGGTAGGGAGACCTGGGGGCTCCCAAGAGGGCCCCAGTGCCAGCTCTGAGGAGGTGTTGGGGGACATCAAGGACCAGCTGTCTGTGGGCACAAAAGCTGGGGTCCCGGGACTACAGTGAAAGTGGGAACAGCGAGGGTGGACACCGCTGGGATGAAGCAGGACAAAGGGGCCGGAGGAGGCAGAAGGGACAGAGGTGGAGCCGCAAGGCAGGCCCAGGCAGGGCTGGAGAGGGGTCCCAGGCACCTGGCTTTCCAGGAAGGCTGCTGGGGTCTAGGCAGGGAGGGAAGGAGGTAACTGGGAGTTTATGGCACAAAACCCCCTCCACATTCTCAAAATCTTCCTGGCAGAGTCCCCACTTCAGCAAACGTGCTTTATTTGTGCCTTATAACACACAGAGCTTCTTAATTAACAATTCTATTTTCAATAATCAAAATAGTGGCCCTCTCTGTAATATCCATGAGCGCATTGACGGGGGTGACCCAAGTTTGGCCAGCGGTGTTCCTTGATTGACTGAGGACACAGTGAAATGTCCTATAACACGGGGCTGGGGTGGGGACCTAGGCGGGTCCAGGCAGCAGAACTGCCTTTCCTGTACAGATGGCACCTGGTCACAGGGGTCTACCTGGGGGACCTGTGCTGGGCGGGCTCCGGGGCCCCCATGCTGTTCTCCACGTGATGCACACTCACATCTAGGCATCTACTCTGCCGCCTTTCCAGCAGCCTCTGGGTCAGTGGTTCTCAACCTTCCTAATGCCTCGGCCCTTTAATACAGTTCTTAATACAGGTTGAGAACTGCTGCTCTGTGATACGATGCTTAAAAACCTCAATTCTTCGGTCTGACTCCAACCTCCCTGCAGTAGCCTGTGCTGCAGGCCCAGTGGTATAAAGCCCTGATTCTGTCACCTCCTCAGTCTGCCCTGAGACCCTCAGTGCAGCCCCTGACCACCAGCAACAGGGCCCAGGCCACAGGCAGCCCATCAGTGCCTGGGGACACTTGGACGTCTGTGAGCTCTGGAGCCTGCTGCCCAAGACTGAGTGTCCTTGGCTCTGCCTGGTGACCATGTTGCTGGCCCCACACTGCACTCTGCCCATCTCAGCCCACATAGCAGTGCTGCTCCTCGGCTGGGGCAAAGTCTCAGAGTCACAGAGTAGGGTAGACCTCCGGGGCCATGTGGGATTTGTCCTCTGCCCCTCAGCCTCGTGCATGGGGGACTCCCACTCTCGATACAAACGCTGGCTGGGGCTCCTGTGTTGTCCCCTCCTTGGCATCTGAGCTGTCATCTAGTCCCTCCCTATCCAGGATGGAACCGGAGACAATTCTGAAACATGGGCCCAGAACAAGTGGCAGAGCGAGTCTCTGAGGACAGAGGCTAGGGTGGCAGAGTCCAGACCCAGACATCCAGATATCCATCCAGACGGAGTTCAGACCCAGACAGATGCCGCCGCAAAACATAAATTTTATTCAGGTATCATCCTCTGGGCGGTAGCCGGCTGGCAGAGGGCATTCCAGGCTGCATAGGGTCGTGTGGCCATCTGAGCCCACAGGGACTGAGAGGTGGAGACCGAGACTCAGAGCAGACACAGGGACCTTCTCTGCTGTCAGGGGAGCCTGGCTGGCCCTGTGGGACTGAGGAGCAGAAAGGAGACCTCGTGTCACCGCCTTTGGAGATGGTCACCAGAGCTGGCTGGCAGAGCTTGAGCAGCTCCTGTGAGTCCCCTGCCCCCGAGCTCCACACCAGGCTGAGCAGACTCACAGCAGTGAGCCCCCAAGGCTGTGGGTGGACAGGGAACCTCTGTCAGAGCATAGCACCTGCTGCTGAGGGGACCAGATCTTGTGCATAGAGAAGAAAAATCCCCTGGAGAGAAAACACAGCAGATCAGAGTGGTCCAGCTTTGTCCCAGCCTCGCCTGAGGCCTCTCTGGAAACAAATGAGGCATTTGCATCACTCATGGGGGCCATTTGGCTTCAGAAAAATGGGCTCAGTTTACGCAAAGTGGTGGCAGAGAGTTCAGGGACAGCTAACGAGTGGGATGACGTAGGTGCTGTCAGTGTCCATTGCCGGCAGCGGCCTCTGGGAGGTTGTTACCGACCAGACACATCTGGGCAGGCGGAGGCCTCCGGCTCCTGTCCTCAGCGGGACCTCGTGGAAGCAAAGCACACTTTCCATCTTCAAACCATAATGGTCTCTTGGATAATTTTCTTAGATCACAGAAAAGGCCAGGGATTCTGCTGGCAGAGAGAAGGGAGGGGGACAGAAGGGCGGTTCCTACCGGGTCCTGTATGAGACAGCTGATCCTCTGGCCAGGAAGGCCTGTAGCAGGTGGCCACAGCCCACACCCTTCACAGTAAAGCCAGGGCCACGTGGGCTCCTGCTCTGATGCCCATGTCACTGTGGTAGCACCTGTGGGGCCAGTGTCCGTCTTCCTGTCTGCACCGTGCATAGGACACCTGCCTCACCCCAGAGCCAGTGGTGTCCCGGAAGGAGCAGCTGAGAGGGTGGTGACACGCCCCCCACATGGGGGTTCTTCCCTCTCAAACTTGGATCCAGTCACTTCAGAAGCTCATGTTTTGATCTAATTTGATTATTGAGAAAAATGTATTTATTCTTTACTTCCTTGTAGTTTAAAATGGCCACCTTAAACCCAGAGCACGGAGTGCTCATCTGTTTAGAGGATTCTTCCTTCTGGTTTTGGGGAGTGCAGATGTCCTGCTGGAGGGGTAAACAGCCACATTTACCAACATTGTCTGAACTGCCGTCAGGCTTCCCTCCTGCGTCCACTCTCGAATGTGTGGGCGGTGGCCAGCAGACAGGGACATCCCAGGCTACAAGGATAGTGTGACTATCTGAGCCCATGAGGACTGTGGAAGAGATGTAGACAGAGGCTCAGAGCAGATGCAGGGACCTTCTCTGACACCGCAAGAGCCTGGCCAGACCTGGGAGACTTAGTAGCAGTAAGGAGACCCCCTGTCACCACCTTTGGAGATGGTCACTGGAACCAGTCAGCAGAGCTGTGAGCTGCTCCTGTGAGGCCCACACCCCCCTCGGCTGAGGCATCACCCAAAATCCTCATCGGAGGCCACCTCAGCCTCTCTTCCCAGCAGGCTGCTCACCCAACACTGGTGCTGTCTCTCCCTGTCCTGCCACCCCCACCTCTCCGTCTCTCCCTGACTCCTCTGGTCTCAGGGAAACTGACTGAGGCCTCAGAACCACTGAAGTCCTTTCCCCCCAGTGGAGTGATGTGGGGGGTAAGAGAGGTAGCCCTCAGCAGCTCAGCCACACAGTTGCTCCCTGAAAGAGCTCGCAGGAGCCTAAACCCACCACCACCAGTCTCCAGGGCCACCCCTTGTCCCAGAGCTGGTCCAGGTTTGCCTGCTGGGCTTCTATACCCAGGGCCTCCTGCCCTTTG